AGATACAGGGCGCCCATATTATAAGGTAAGGTTATAAAACCACCATTTAAGATCATTTTAGTGAAAGTTTCATGTTCCTATCTCATAGAATTTAAGAACAATGATGAATAAATAATTTTCGAGCAAAATTTAAATGGCCGGCTGAATATATTACCGCAGGAGCCGCGGCCGCGGAATTTAAATGACCACGTCAAAGGGTTAAACAATCTGTTAACTTCTTCCTCTGCTCATAATAAAGTCCACTTCCTATCATTCTACTTCCTTCCCTGGATGAACAAGTCCTGCCTAGAAATTTTCAAATCTGGTAACTTTTGTGTTTCCCCCATAAAATAGTGTAACGTGTTGCTGGTTACTGAATATGCCGTAGGGATCGTTAATTGGTTTATTTAACAATCTACAAGTAACGGCTACAATTACTTATCACACAGTTGCGGGGTTTCACACTTTATAACCCTAATCGCATTAATCTGTTAACACTGTTGCAGGGTTTCACGATTTATAACCCTATGCGCAAATCAGTTCACTCTGTCTTCAGTAGTCTACACGTTTACAGTAGGGGAGCTTTGTATCACTGTATCACACACTCTCAATTACACAATCACACACACGTCTGGTTCTTCTTTCCGCGACGGCTGCTATACTCCAACTATAGTCGGCTGACTGGAGAACTGTTGATAACACCCTCGCTCATAGGCTTGCTTGAACTAGCTCGGAACTGAGCTGGGTGATGGCCACAGTACAACTCTGTGACTGCTACGTTACAACTGACTCCGCAGGCGCTGTGCAGTTCCCTTATATAGCCGCAGTGCTTGCCTGTTGCGTAATGAGTGCCACGTCATCCTGTTACGTCACCGCTGTTGACTTGCGTTGCATAGCTACCAGGTTGCGGGGGCTCGGCTAACTTCAGCTCCGCTCGGCTCACTTCGGCTCCGCTCGTGACGTCACCGCGGGGAGAGTGGCGGGGTGATGACTCACCTATTACGCGAGCGCTACATTACCGCCACGTGCCGCTGGGGAGGTAGGGGTCCTTCGTTGTGCAACATGTCACAATAGTGTCTCAGAATAGCCCCTGACCACTTTCTCATTTATCTCTTTCAAGCAACTAAGGACACATGCAATTTAAAGTTTTACATTTGCAGTAAGCTGTTTTGAAACAACATACTCTAGTGTCAATTTCATTCTATGAAGTTAGCTTACAAAGTGTGGAAGAACACTGACATGCATCCATTCAGCACCCATGTAAGGAAATATCCTTACATTAAGACTGTCTTGTGGCATGTGATGCTGTGTGAACAGGCACAAATGTTTCAAAGAAACCTTTCCATATTCGGGCTATAAGAAAAAAGGTAAAGCTATCCCTGTAACAGGTTGTGTGCATCGAGGCTCCGCATTCTAGAAAATCAGCTCACAGATGGCGGTGAGTTTGCCAGCCTTATGCGCCAGCCACCCTTTACCACTACGAAAATTCCTGGTACTCCTCTGTTAGATTAGTTGATCTCAGGGCATAACGAGGCTGGAAAGATTCGGCTCCGCTCGGCTCACTTCGGCTCCGCTCGTGACGTCACCGCGGGGAGAGTGGCGGGGTGATGACTCGCCTATTACGCGAGCGCTACATTACCGCCACGTGCCGCTGGGGAGGTAGGGGTCCTTCGTTGTGCAACATGTCACAATAGTGTCTCGGAATAGCCCCTGACCACTTTCTCATTTATCTCTTTCAAGCAACTAAGGACACATGCAATTTAAAGTTTTATATTTGCAGTAAGCTGTTTTGAAACAACGTACTCTAGTGTCAATTTCATTCTATGAAGTTAGCTTACAAAGTGTGGAAGAACACTGACATGCATCCATTCAGCACCCACGTAAGGAAATATCCTTACATTAAGACTGTCTTGTGGCATGTGATGCTGTGTGAACAGGCACAAATGTTTCAAAGAAACCTTTCCATATTCGGGCTATAAGAAAAAAGGTAAAGCTATCCCTGTAACAGGTTGTGTGCATCGAGGCTCCGCATTCTAGAAAATCAGCTCACAGATGGCGGTGAGTTTGCCAGCCTTATGCGCCAGCCACCCTTTACCACTACGAAAATTCCTGGTACTCCTCTGTTAGATTAGTTGATCTCAGGGCATAACGAGGCTGGAAAGATTCGGCTCCGCTCGGCTCACTTCGGCTCCGCTCGTGACGTCACCGCGGGGAGAGTGGCGGGGTGATGACTCGCCTATTACGCGAGCGCTACATTACCGCCACGTGCCGCTGGGGAGGTAGGGGTCCTTCGTTGCGCAACATGTCACAATAGTGTCTCGGAATAGCCCCTGACCACTTTCTCATTTATCTCTTTCAAGCAACTAAGGACACATGCAATTTAAAGTTTTATATTTGCAGTAAGCTGTTTTGAAACAACGTACTCTAGTGTCAATTTCATTCTATGAAGTTAGCTTACAAAGTGTGGAAGAACACTGACATGCATCCATTCAGCACCCACGTAAGGAAATATCCTTACATTAAGACTGTCTTGTGGCATGTGATGCTGTGTGAACAGGCACAAATGTTTCAAAGAAACCTTTCCATATTCGGGCTATAAGAAAAAAGGTAAAGCTATCCCTGTAACAGGTTGTGTGCATCGAGGCTCCGCATTCTAGAAAATCAGCTCACAGATGGCGGTGAGTTTGCCAGCCTTATGCGCCAGCCACCCTTTACCACTACGAAAATTCCTGGTACTCCTCTGTTAGATTAGTTGATCTCAGGGCATAACGAGGCTGGAAAGATTAGGTCAATTAAAACATCCAATGACCTCAATGAGAACTGAACCCATGACCTTTCAGCTCATAGTACAGTGCCTCAACCAATTATGCTATGTCATGCCCTTTCTGGATATAAGGAGCTGATACCTATCTACCAGACTACATGTGACACATCCCACAAGACAGCATATTTACCACTCTGGGAACCTCAAACCTCAAACCTCACCCTTACATTGGAAGTTCAGGTTTTACCTCACTATGAATGAGAACAATGTACAAGAACTTAAAACACAAAGATTGTTTAATTCTCCCTATAATTTTATTTGGAAGATGAGCAACAGGAAATCAATAAATTAATGCTCTAATAGAATGTATGAAATGTCCATGGAGGAAAAAGTTCTTCTTTTACTCAGTTTCAACATCACATCTTTGTAACTCTGTACCATTCTGTACAATCACATTCTGATATGTTACAATGTTAACTTACACAGAACATTGCAACATTGTAGAGATGGCTGCAGATAATTTCTTATAAATTTTTCTCATTTTCCAGCATGAGACACACATTATAATTATGTTGCTGCTCACCTTACAGTAGGATAGTGAGGTTATGTTATGCAAACTGAAGTGTCATCCAGGCCATAGGTCTCACTGAGGCATACAGTAGCTTCCAACTTACTCAGTCATCTCTGAACCTCCAAATAACAGTGTCTGTTAAAAGTAAAATCTGCATTAAGAAAAGTGTAGATTGGTTCTCAATTGAAGAAAGCAGTCTTCTGGGATTTGGCACCATGTATATGTGGTGTTAACCGACGTTTCGGAGGAACGTCGGTTAACACCACATATACACGGTGCCAAATCCCAGAAGACTGCTTTCTTCATAGTCACCGCCGTGAAAGCCTCAAATCTTACATGGTTCTCAATTCCTTAAACCCTCTTAGTATTACATAATCAGTGCCCAGCCATACACTTTGTCCCAGTGCTGACACAGTTTTTCAACACATGGAAATCAAGTAGAAGCTGAAAGGAATCAACTTTTACTTTACATCATTCACAGTTTGGGAATATGTCATGTGTAGGATGGTACGCATGAAATAATTTTGGGTTCTACTTTGGATGACTGGATTTATTAGCACTTTGGTTACAATGTTTCTTAATCACATTTAATATAGTGCTATTGCTGTTTCCATAATTTACAGTTCACCACTGCACATGCACTAGGATTCTATTTCCACTAGTTGTCTCCTAGCAACGGATCTTAACACAGACACTATCACTTCAAGTCACTGTGAAGGCTTGTTGTCTTCAATCACTCTGTACTCCTCTGTCCTAATCTGTACTCAACTAATCTTCATAATTCACGCTCCATTCTCGCCCTTGTACTTTAACATGCTGAACAATCCTGGACTCTCCATTCCTAGTCCAAATTTGCTCTCAATTAGTCTTCACAATTCACGCTCCATTCTCGCCTTTGTACTATCAACTGCTGTACCCTCCTGGACTCTCCACTAACTTAAGGTTAAACAGGTCTTCATTATATAGGCGCCACATGGATCAAACTGAAAAGAAGTCACATGATAACTAGTACTGCTGGGGTGTGACATCAATGCACCTGTGTGGAAATCTGTTTACCGAGCCACTGCGTAGAAGCGGCTTGCATGTATCGCGTGTGTTTACCAGTCCATTATCTAGCAATGCTCTGGCAATCCACATTACACTATGTTTACTATTACAGTAATGGCCAAGGTCAGGTGACATAACCGTCCAAAGTCAATTTAACGTTTCCCATTTTAAGGTTCTCCCTAATTCTGAGTTTAATTTAAATGATCAAAAGTTTTTATATTGTAAAGATTAATGATATTCTTCCTTGCCATTTCACAACTTTTTACATTATTCTATGTCATCCAGGAGTCCAAAGTGCATGTTCACAAGTCAGGATTAACAAACATGTTCCGCGTTCTGGTGTGGGGGGGGGACACTTGTAGACAGAAAGGGACTAGATTGAGAATTATGTAAAAGGACTTATTCTTGAGACTTTGAAAAATGTAGTCAGACAAGCCAGAGGTCTCAGTTACGGAAGACAACTGAAGGAGAGGTTTCAGCGACCACCCCGTGTACAGACTGCATAAGTTGCAAAAGGTTCTGTGTGAGCATGGTCCCACACTGGCTACAGGCAAGGAACAAGAACTGGCTGTCCCAAAATTAGAGGTGAAGATCTACAAAGACATATTGAATTTTCTTCTTCTTTCTTATTATTTATTTTGGTCATCTCAATTCATGTGTATAATTATAACATATACATTATAACATGTTTCGGTTATCATCAGGTAATATATGTTTCTATATTCACCTTTGATTATCTCTGTATATTGACCAATGTTTATATCTGGGATTAGATCATATAGTGTTATGTGATGTCTCTTATATAAAATTATGCTAAAAGTATTCATATATTAAACTGTTCAATGTCCAATTTCCCTNTAAAAATGATTATATATTAAACTGTTTAAGGGCCCATTTTCCCCCCCCCCCCCCAATGTAGTGGTGTTGTGAATAATGTCACTGTTTTCTCTTGTCTTTCTGGTTGTTGTAACATTGATCTTCTCATGTATAATCTGAAATATTAATCGATTATCAATGAATATATATTTTCAGTTTTGTATGCATCTTTTTCTTACCTTGTGTTGGCATTCAGATTATGTGTTCTACTATGACCTCTAAGTATGCATTGTGTTTGTCTGTCATGCTTTTGTTTGTTCTTATGAACTGACCTACAATATCTATATCACTTCGAATACAAGATGAACATTTCACACATTTTTTTTCTGTTGAAAAATTGAGATGCTTCTTAAATTCAAGGAATGTGCATCTTCTAAGTTTTCTCCCTAAAATCAATATTCAAAAACTGGATGAATCTTAAATTTGAGGGCGTCTTATATTCGAAGTAAAACGGTAATATACTTTTTCTTCTCTCTCTTTCTCTCTCTAACACACACCCACACCCACACATGCACACACATTATTTCCTATGTTAGCATTGGGATACAAACTTAGTAAACTTTTTTCACTTGTATGATTCCTGTTCTATCATTAGTATGTGATATATTGGTCAATCACAACTTTCCCTTGGCAGACTTCAACGCCATACACCCCAATATTCAGTTCAACATTGAAAAAGAAACACACAACAAATTATATTACCTAGATTTAACCATCATACACTTACAATTAACACATGCAGAAAATCCACATTCACTGATTTGATCACACACAATGACTCATGTCACCCACAAGAATGCAGCAATCATCTCATTAACCACATAAACAAATACACTATCACAGACATAAACATGAACCATGAATTACAACACATAAAAACAATAATACATAACAATAACAATCCAACCTATAAGAAAACAAAAGAAACATACAAAACACACCACCAAGAAATAAACAAAAATGGGCCACCTTTCCGTATATCAGAAAAGAAACAAGAATCATCACAAGACTATTTAAAAATACAAATGAATGCACATCATTCAAGACCACATAGACAATAAAAATCATCTAAAGAAGCACATTACAGACACTTTTAACAAAAGAGCCATTTACAAACTAAAATGTAATGACTGTCCATTAAAATACATACACCAAACAGAAATTTCTGAACGCGCTTCAAAGAACACATCCAGGCAATAAGGGCCAACAAACGAAACTCCAAAGTTGCACAACACACATAGGACACAATCTAGAAAACAATGGACAAACTCCACATTAAAAAAAAGGTCCATTACTAAACACATTAGAGTGCTTCCACATACACAACCTGAGCACACAAAAACTACAACTGAATAATATATAGACACATATAACCCCATATCTGATATAATTATAAAACATCCCACATAATAATAAACCACTCACTAATCCACCTTACCCCACCTCCACCTAAAAAGTAAGTGTACCTCACCCCCTACCCCACCCTCCAAGCAGTATGCCCAACCTTACCCAGTAACAATTTCAGTTCATTTTCAACAACACAACAGAGCACTACAATGCAACAGAAGTAGCAGCAAATCACACCCCAACAAGTAATTACACACACACACACACACACACACGCACATATATCAAGTATGAATTGTTCCAGTCTTCAGTAAAATATCACATAAACCCTTTCAGGAATATCAGTAAGCAGCACTAAAAAGCCAACATCATTAAGGTAATAAAAAAACAAGAACATAAACAAAGAACTGGCCACAGAATAAAGTAAGTATGCACATATATAAAAAACTAAAAAGAAATCTACAATATACCCATTCCCTATAACATATTCTTATTTTTTTCAGATTAAAACTGCCCAAGCAAGATAGCACATGACCTTCAGTAGCAATGCAAAAAAAAAAACATGCTTCTATGAAACATCATAGCTTATTCAGTGACCACACCCAATATATCATATGTCCAAAAAGTATCTGACTTCATTTTTTTGCTGTAAGTAATGGCCAAAGGGGTGGTGAAACTGAGCGTAGTGGTAGAAGGGACTTTCATGTGCATGTGCGATTTTTTGCTGACTCGCAACATTGCCGGATGTGTTTGTGGCTGCCAGAGAGCGAAGTGGTGTAACATGTGTTCGTCGCATTCTCGTTTTGCTCAAGATGACAGAATGCTTGGAGCAGCGATACTGCAGTTTTGTCAGAAACTTGGGGATACCCAAGCAGAAACAATTTGCAAAATTCAGCAGGCTTTCGGTGATGATGCAATGGGGGTCACTCAAATTAAAGAGTGGTTCAACTGCTTTAAATATGGCCCTATGTCAGCAGAAAGTGAGCAGTGTCCCGCAAGACCGTCAACGGGCCAAAATGCTGATGTCATTGAAAAAGTTCAGACAATGATCATGGAGGACTGTCGTCTGGCCATCCGTGAAGTTGCTGATGAGGTTGGGATCAGCAGAGGTTCCACAGAAACAATTTTAACTGAGGTTTTGGGCATGCGAAGAGTGGCGGCAAAATTTGTGCCCAAGCTGCTTTCGCTGGAGCAGAATCAACTGCGCCTTGAGGTCGCGCAGGACATGCTGGAGTGCACCAACAGGGATCCTGAGTTCCTGAAGACTGTGATCACTGGTGACGAGTCGTGGGTGTACGGATATGACCTGGAAACCAAGGTCCAGGAGTCACAATGGAAGCATCCAACATCCCCGAGGCCCAAAAGAGCACGACAGGTTCGGAGCAATGTGAAGGGGATACTGTTTTTTTTTGATTACTGGGGTGTCGTCCATCATGAGCAGGCGCCACTAGGCCAGACTGTTAATAAGAAGTACTACCAAGAAGTCCTCCGCCATCTTCGTGATGCAGTTCGGCGCAAGAGACTGGAGCTGTGGGACACACGCAACTGGCAGCTGCATCATGACAATGCCCCAGCTCATTCATCACACCTGATCCAGGGTTTCCTGGCCAAGCACGGCATGCTGCAGGTTCGCCAGTCTCCCTACTCTCCTGACACGGCTCCTTGTGATTTCTGGCTGTTTCCGAGATTGAAGACACCTCTAAAAGGCTGCCGTTTTGACAGCCGCAAAGACATCATACCGAATGCGATGGCGCAGCTGCACGCCATTCCAAAAGAAGCCTTCCAGAACTGCTTCCAGCGATGGAAGGACTGCTGAGCTAAGTGTGTGGAGTCACAAGGGGCCTACTTTGAAGACGATTAGGTATTGTAACCACCCAGAGACAGAGCCTTTTTTCCCAGCCCAAGGTCGGATACTTTTTGGACAGAGTAGTACACTCATGTCATTATAATAATAAAAAGGGAAATGTTAACTTACCATATTATTTCCATTTCCCAATCTACCAAAGAAACCCCATATACTTTAAACATAACTTTAACAAACTAATTAACACTTAATACTTTAGGAGTTTTACTAATTATTGATAAATATTTTAATACATTTAAATGCTGTAACCTCTATGTATATGTATTTATACATACTGTTTTGTACTTTACATGGTAAGGCCAGTAGCAAGGAATCCACTGCACAAGCAGTTCAGTAACAAACAGTGACACATATTATTGTTTATAAAATCCTGATGATCATCCAAGCTACCAAAATATGGAGTATAGTAACTTTTCTATAAACATCAATTATTGAAAACAAATGTTGTGACTGATGGGATATACCACGTCCTTAACCACAGCGTGGATGGNGGGGGGGGGGGTCTTGTTCTGACTTTGTGAAATTGGACAGTTAGTTACACTCTATATGGGAATAAAGTGAAACCTCTATCCATTGTTCCCTTGTGCACTATTTCCCCACAAGTACTGTTCATTCTTCTAGTCCCTGTACATTGCCCATTGGATGCAACGTACTTCAAAATGTCTTCCATCATAGAGTTCACTTTGCCTTGTCAAGTTCAGCATTTTTATATGGGATTTGGTGTTATTATTTGTTATAACTGTTTGCCTATTATTGATTTCTTGTACAGAGGAACTATACATTAAAGGTTGACATGTCTCACCCTACAGAGCACGTTAGGATACTCCACCGAACACCAAAGGGTACTCAAGAAGGAAGAATCTAACTAAGAAACAGAATGACAAAGCCAAACGCTTTGGATTAGCACCATCCACACTTAACTCCACGAACGCAAAGAAAAGAGAAATCTGGGAACATACAGATGAGGGCAGAGAGTCATGTAATAAAAGGAAAATATGAAACAAATCTAGTTTCTGGAAGCCTGAGATTACCCTGTTGGCTTGGTACCTGCAAGCATGGGTATCAGGCATTCCTGTTGATGCATACATCTGTGAAAAAACTGATGACTTATTTCCGCCTTCAGATGAACACTGTTGCAGTAACGTTTGCAGATTTTTTTTGTTCAAAATTTGCACTACTCATATATGCTTGTTGTGGCCGATATGTTGTTGTACCATGGAACATTTTTCTGCTGCTAATTTTGTGTCACACATCTTACAGTATAAAATGTCACCATCAGCTTAAAATATATAATCGCCAAACTCAGCTACAGTCTTCTTTAAATGATATGATTCAGATGGCTTTGCTTTAGGCATCGTGATAAAATGAATCACTCTAGTGCAACATAGAACTGAACTTTTCATACTGAGAACCTTTCGTCAACTGTATCTTTGTACGGTCAGGGATGAGAAACTGAAGACAGGTGGAGTTTTATTGAGCAACAATGTCATAAAAAGTGTGGGATTCAGGCTAGAAATATTTGTAACTAGGCAAATTGCTTTGCACAAAGCTTGGAAAGGACCGCAGTGTGAGTGACCGCTGTTGTACCCTGCTGCCAACTTGTAATGTCAGCACTTTCCACAAAACGAATGGAAAGGATGGGACAGGATTACATCTTATTATTGCATACTGTGGTAGCAGGCATTTGGGTTACTTACATATTATTCACATTTCTGAAAACATATGAAGAAAATTCCCTAAAATGGCTAAAATGACAAAAATAACCTTAAAAGTCCTAAAATTTAGGGAAAAATTACCCCAAAACTGAAAAAATGACCTAAAAACCTAAAAATTATGAAAAATGACAAAGAATGGACTATAAAAGTTATATGTCTGAAACCAGCAGCTCATCTCCGGGATTTATATATTTACGGGCATCGAATAGGATACAAGGGAAAAAGATGACATGTCATCAAAATCCGGGCCCTGATTATGACTCAGTCATGTCAGTTCCTACTCCATCACTCTGCTCAGTGTTTCCCACTTTTCATACTTTCAATATAAGCAGTGATTTTCAGGAATGCAGCCCCCCCCCCCCACACACATAACTAGAGCCACCTGTATGGGTAATGGGTGGAGGAGCGACATATGAAATGACTGAAAAAATGACACCAAACCATACTATTTTCTATCAGAAACAATTAGAATTCTGGGTGAAACTTGAACCACCTACACAACTACATCTGGCCAAGTTAAAATAATACATACCTACTACTCTATGGTTGCAAAAGTTTTCCGTATCTCACACAGTTTGGGGTAATCTACAAACTCAGTACCGTAGATCATGATTGTTGCAACTGTAACTGCTACCATTGATGCCCAGAACAACAGGTACAGCAGACTTTCAGTTGTATATTCTGCAACATATCACGTACTTTTGTAAAAATCTTGTTCAGAGCAATCAACATCATTTAAAACAGAACTTAAAAATATACTAAATGGAAAGATACCATTTTCAAAAACTGGCATTCCATTACCAACTAAGGGGAAAAACAGACTTAGGATTACTAAAGTGATAATGTAGAGACCATGACTATCTTGAGATTCAAGGGAAGAGATCTTAATGATCTAACCACACCAAGTTCACGATAATGTCGATAATGATATATGGACAACAGCAGTATTCACTTACTTTCCTATTTACGTATATTGTCATATGTATGGAGTTTGACTACAGACAGGTCTTGGATTGATGACCAGATTAATTGCACACTCTGATACAGCGCATGACTACATTTTACAGTTCCTGCACACACATACTAGTGTCCACAGTTATGTCTTCCCTGACATTGCTTGGCAGCAGCTTCCAGTGACAGATATTCCCCTTCTCCAGCCTCAGCTACAAGCTTCTAACCACAGCAGTACTCTAATTGGTCAGCTAATTATAACATCATGGCACAGACTGCATAGCAAACACCACTTCTCCCATTTATTCCATTGTTGTGCTCGTGTATGTTGGGGTGACCAATGCATTACTACTGAGCCACTAACAGCTGCTGTATAGTTGCTGAGCAATGAGTCTACATGCCAGGAAATGAAGGTATAATAGGCTGGCTGTGCCAGACCAACTGCATGATTCAGCCCAGAACTAGTAAACAGATTTCAACATATTCAGGCACTGGATTTTGCATTAAGCATTAGCAGGAAAATATAGTTCTGTGTAAGATTTTAGGTTCTCATGGCAGTGAATGTTATGGCTGCAGTCTTACAGGATGTAATGCCATGTAGTCTGGTAGATGACTTACAATGTTTCAGAAGAACAAATTTCCTCCATTCTTCAACTAAAGATGGAAGCAGAATACTCCTTCAAACAAAAGTAACTCTCTACATTACATAGCATCACATCCTGGAAGATAGCAGCTATAAAATTAATTCTAGTTAGTACTGGTTCAATATAATCTCTTCTTTGCATGATGATGAAATTAAGAACTAATAATTTGTCTCTGAACAATACATTTAGATTCTAAAGGGTTGGAATGTTGATGTATAAAACCCAGTATTTCTGAGAACAATATATTTGCATCTGCTACACAAGAACATCAAAGCCAATAATTAGACAACAAACAGCAAAGAATGCATGGGAGACATGGGTACACTCTAGCGAAGGTCACTCACCACTCATTTCTTACAGAATTTGGCATGTATACGATTGACATATATGAGATCAGAGGGTTTCAAAACAGGAAATATTTAGGTTGTGGTCTTCTGAGTTATGACACCATGTAGTCTGGTATGTGGGTACCAACATTTCAAAGGAACAGGCTGCCTCAACCTTTGGGAACAATCATTCTACCATGTTCTTCCAAATTGTTGATATCCACCTATCAGATTAAACGGTGTCATAACCTGAAAGACCACAATCTAAATCAATGGGAACTTTGACATAAATGTGGATTCAATTTTTAATCAACTGTACACAGACATGCTGCCATTATTGTGACTCCTTGCCATGCAAACAGAGAAAATTACATTTTCCTTGCCTTGTATATACCATGGGCACAGTGTATGAAGAGAACTGAGTTAAATGGCCTTAAGGTGAATTTAACAGTGGCAATGGATGAAGAACAGCATGACCAACTGTACACATATTTACAGTTAAAAAATATCATTACGATGAACTCTGCTCCATGAAATTAGTAATTTTGTACAGGAAGTTACTGATCAATTGTCAGAATACTTACCAGACGGAGTGACAACATTTGCGAAGAACATGAAGATGGCCATCACCAGAATCCATGGGAACTGAAATGAGGACACAGAAGTATAGAGCAGGCATACAAACTGATATGTAAATGTGGTAACTGAAGCCACCATGCTGAGGTACGGAACTTCTAAGTACTAGGACCAAACAAAAACAAACAAAAACTCCGTGGCCTTTAGTCTGCAAACAAACTATACTGACCAAGTGACTGTCGCTTGTCGGCAAAGTTAGTGCCAACTTTAGGGGATAGAGGGTGTTGTGTGGTCATTGAAACAAATCCCCATAGCCGTTAATTTCGGTTTTCAAGACCAGAGCCACTATTTCCTTGAAACAGCTACTCAATTATCCTCATGAGGCTGAGGGGACCCCGTTCCAGACCCACTACTTCTCAGAAAATCTGGAATCGAACCTGAGACCTCTGGATCTATAACCAGGAACAGAGTGTGAGTAGCACCAAACTACATAAATAAGGTTTAAACATTAAACATATCCATATAAGATCTTAAGTTCTCACAACGGTGTGTGATGCTGTGGCAAAAAGGTACCAATATCTCAGTGGAATCTACTGCCTTTGTCTTCAGGGTAGGGGTGAGCCAAGCTGAAAAGAACAGTCCATAATATAGGGAATGGTGGTTTTGACCTGAAGAGACCCGTTTGCAAAATGGCTAAAAAGTAAGAAGCATAAGAGCAAGAAGGTGGGATTTGAAGAAAAGATTGCAGTGGACAAGGAGGAAGAGGAAAGCATGCCCTGAAAAGGGCAGTTAAAGGTCCTTCATAAGAATCAGCACAGGTTACTCTGAAACTCCAGTAACCATCTATTAGACAACATGGTGTTACACCCCATAAGGCCAAAAGCTTAATACTCATTGTTGTGACCTCAGTTCCCAGAAAGTGGTTTCAATGTCCATAATACACTCTAGTGCCAAAGTCATGGGATAGCAGTATGTAAATCTATTTTTAAGTGGTGCCACCGTCCCTTGACGGCTTGGGAATGCCCAGAGCAGTATCAGATGTGAGGTGTTCTCTCGTGAGTCAGGGTGAACACCGGCCAGTCTGCTCATGGCAAGCTGACGTGAATTATCAGAGTTTGAACAGGGCATGATGGTGGGTTCCAGGGGGATGGGACATTCCATTTCCGAAGTTGTGCGGTCATTCAACATTCCTCAATCCATGGGGTCATGTGTGTACCAGGAATACCTTGTGGAAGGCATTTCCACCCACTGTGGAAAGTGCAGTGGCCAACCACAGGTGCTTAATGATCATGACCAGCGGCATCTAGCTAGAATTGTATGTGGTAACAGACAAGCGACACTGGCTGAAATCACATCCACATTCAATGCAAGAGGTACCAGACACATATCCAGCAGGTCAGTGCAGTGTTCTTTAGCTTCCATGGGATATGGGAGCAGAAGACCGACCAGAGTGCCTCTGTTAACACGACACCAGACACAGCGCCTCACCTGGGCTTGTGACGTCGCTAATTGGACCCTGCAGGATTGGCAACATGTGGCGTGGTCCGATGAGTCACGGTACCAGTTGTTTTGGGCGGATGGTAGGGTTTGGGTGTGGCACAGACCACATGAGGCCATGGACCCCAGTTGTCAACAAGGCACCGTGCAGGCTAGTGGTGGTTCCATACTGGTGTGGGGTGTGTTCACATTGCATGAGTTGGGTCCGCTCGTTGACCTAAACACGTCATTGAGTGGTGACCGCTACATTACACTGCTTGGTGACCATTTGCAGCCCTCCATGGACTTCATGTACCTCCACAACAATGGGATATTCCAGCAGGACAATGCACCGTGTCATCAGGCCGGAGTTGTCCACAATTGGTTCGAGGAGCATTCTGGAGAGTTCCGACGAATGGTGTGGCCACCATGTTCGCCCGACATGAAACCAACTGAGCATTTATGGGACGTGGTGGAGAGGGCCATTTGCACCCAAAATCCTGCACCTACAAATACCAGGGAGCTGTCGGCGGCTATCCAGACGGCATGGCTCAACATTTCTCCAGAGGTCTTCCGTCCACTTGTGGAATCGATGCCACATCAAGTTGCTGCATTTTGCCAGGCTAGAGGGGGTCCTACACGATACTAGGTACCTATCCTATGACCTTTGGCACTTCAGTGTACATTACCTTACAAGAGACATGCCCATATGCTATGCTCCTGTGTCAGTAAAAACAAAATATGCTCTACCCCATAACAGGCAGCACAATGTATGAAACGGATCTGGCTGAAGTACAAATCCAGACTTCTGGGGAACAGTTTCAATCTACTAAAAACAGAGTTTAATAAATATGTTACATTACTCACAGTAATATACTTCCACCCCTTCTCCACATCAAGTGGACATGGCCTTGTAATCCCTTCTCCATCCTCTACCATGTACCGGCCCAAGACCAGGTCAATTGAGTCCTGAAAAATTATATTAACTGTAAAAAAATGTAATTTCAATTAAACCTGATCAATCTCAAGTGTATGAAACAGACTGATTAAGCTAGTGGGGACTGAAACTCATCCATACTTACTTACTCATGGAGCTGAGCCCTTCTTGAGGAGAAGCCAAATCTGCACTTACTCAAGAATTTCCCAGCAATTTATGGAACCCAAAGGTTCATTACCATGTTCACAAGCACCCTCCACTGGTCCCTATCCTGAGCCAGATCAATCCTATCCATACCATCCCATCCCTCTAAGATCCATTTTAATATTGTCCACCCACCTACACCTTGGTCTTCCCAGTGGTCTCTTTCCTTCTGGCTTTCCCATCAATATCCTATATGCATTTCTCTTCTACCCCATTCATACTACTTGCCCTGCCCACCTCATCCTCCTTAACTTGATCATTCTAGTTATACTTGGAGAAGAGTACAAGTTATGAAGCTCCTCATTCTGCAGTTTTCTCCACCTCCTGTCACTTCATCTCTCTTTGGTCCAAAAATTCTCCTCAACACCCTGTTCTCAAACACCCTCAGTCTATGTTCCTCCCTTAATGTCAGAGACCAAGTTTCACGCCAATACAGAACCACCGGCAAAATTATAGCTTTGAATATTTTAATTCTTACACTTTTAGACAGCAGACGAGAAGACAAAAGGTTCTGGGCTGAATGGTAGCAAGCATTACCTGATTTCAATCTCCTCTTAATTTCCTCCTCGATCAGGTTTTGATTTCATCCATACAATATTTAAGACTTAAGCTCCTACCTCACAGAAATATATTGCATCTAAATTACAAAGAATATCTGAATTAGGAGCTTCATAACTTGTACTCTTCTCCAAGTATAATTAGAATTTTCATTTCGTGCATCTTGTTGTGTTATTATATACAACTCTTTATTAAATCCGTCAAAACAACACAATACAGAGTTCGAGGCTAAATTAGCTATGCTACATGTTTCCGCTATTCATAGCCATTGCCATCAGGCAAATCTGTATTCCCTACAAAACGTACATAAATACATCGTACAATGAGGCACCGACCAAACAATTTATGTTAATACGTGGTGCAATCCAAAAGTTCCCGAAATATATTAATAAAAACTATTACATCTTACCTAGATCTTATTCTGCACCATCACCTTCAAAGCAGTCCTCTTGGGAGCGCATACACCGATTCCAGCATTTCTGCCACTTTTCAAATGCATCCTGGAAGTCTTTCTTTGTTAGGGTGTTTAGTACCGTCTGCGTTTCTGCTTGAATTTCCTCAACTGTATCAAATCTTCACCCCCTCAACTTGATTTTCATCTTGGGGAAGAGAAATAAGTCGCGTGGAGCTAAGTCTGGAGAGTACGGTGGGTGGGGAACAACTGCCATCTTGTTTTTAGCCAAAAATTCCTGCACAATGTAAGCCGTATGCGGTCGTCCATTGTCATGGTGGAGTACCCAGTCGTTCGTGCGCCACTTCTCTGGACGTTTTCTCATGTTCTCCCTCAAATGCCTTAGAACATCGCCACAGAACTCTTTATTGACTGTCTGACCAGGAGGGACGAACTCCTTACGAACAATCCCGTCAATATCAAATAAACAGATCAACATGGACTTAATGTTGCTCTTGACTTGTCGAGCTCTTTTTGGCCGAGGTGAAGAAGGGCTCTTCCATTGCGACGATTGCTGCTTGCTTTCCGGGTCGTAGCCATAAACCCAACTTTCGTCACCAGTGACAACCTTCGAAAGAAAGTTTGGATCCTCTTGAAGCTGTTGCTGAAGTTCCCTGCAGACTTCCAAGTGAAGCTGCTCCTGTTCATTTGCAGCAGTCGTGGCACAAACTTCGCCGCAATCTTCCTCATGTTCAGTTCCTCTGACAAAATTCGTTGACATGTACCATAACTTAGTCCCAAGGTGTTACAGAGGTCTTGGATGGTCAGTCTACGATCTTGCAGAATCAGATCCCTAACTTTCGCGACATTTTCTGGTGTTTTGCCCGTTGACGGCCGTCCCGAATGATCGTCATCATCAGTCACTGTTCAGCCATTTTTAAAACGCTTATACCGGTTGTAAGTTTGTGTCTGACCTAAACTGTTTTCACCAAAAGCTTGCTTCAACATTTGGTGCGCTTCTGCAGCAGTTTTCCCAAGTTTGAAACAGAATTTTATACAGACACGCTGCTCTCTCAGGTCAGCCATCGCAAAACCGCAAACTCACAGAAACACAACAATGGAAATATGTTCACCAACAATAAACCCAACCACTCAACTAGACGCTGCTTGCCACACTGATTCAAGAAGAATGTGTGAGGACACACCTAGTGGTATTTCGATGTACTCATAACCATTCGCGCGCAAAATTCAAATTTCGGAAACTTTTGGATTGCCCCACGTATATATACTGATTCCCCATTCTGAGGGCTTCTTCAAGTTGTAGATGATGTAGGAATCTTTCTTTGAAACCAACAACAGATTCATCAAATGACAAAGTCTGTCTGGTAATAAGGTACTCTCTGCAATTAGTGTCTATGTATTTCACCTAATTACTGACCTTTCATATCTCTCTCCTCAAACTGTGGTCAAGGTTCAGAACCATTTATAAATGTAGATTCCAGAATATTGGGAACAACTGTTTTCATGTGAGAATTTCACTGAAAAATCTAGGGACCAATAATCCTTCCTATCAGGAAGAAGAATTACTCCCACATCAATCCATTCATGCCAGAAGGCACACTCTGACAATGGTTCCTTTGTCGACATTTTCTCTAACATATGCATTAGTTTCAACAACTAATTAGTTTTTAGTAAGAAAAAGTAACAGAAAAAAGTGGCCGACCACCAAACAATAAGCTTCCACTGAAAGAAGAACACACTGAACCAAAGAGAACTCAAGTGACCAATAAAACAGTATGTATCATCAGACATACAGAGATTGAATATACATACAAGCTTCTATCAGAAAGTTCCTAGACTGTTACTGTTGTAACTGCCTCGGTCACACTTCAGCAAGCTTATTGCATCAGTCTGCCACGTGACATCACGCTGTGAACACCCATTGGTCTTATACGAGTGCTTTTCCCACTTCCATGTTTCATTTTGTCTGCGATGGATAGCAAAATTGAGCAACGTGTCTGCATCAAGTTTTGTGTAAAGCTCGGTAAGTCAGCTAATGAAACCCTTGAAAAGCTTCATGAGGATTTTTGAGAACATTCTTTAAGCCAGACAGCGATTTTTGAACGGCATTGATGTTTCAAGGCTGGTTGAGTGTCAGCTGAAGGTAACAAATGTTCAGGGTGACCAAACACCAGCAAAATGACAGAAAATGTTGAAAAAATTCATGAACTCATCCACAAAGACTGGCATCAAACAATCCATGAGCTCACAGACACCACTGGGATCAGTTATGGAGTCACCAGGAGGTCTTAACAGAAAATCTGAACATGTGCCACACTGCCGCGAACTCTGTTCCCCCGTCTCTTGACAAATGATGAAAAGCAGCGGCACATAAATGTGTGTCTCGAGGTATGAGAGAAGGCTAAAGAGGACCCAATTTTTTCTCTAAGATCATAACAAGTACCAAAGCGGGATTTACGGTCATAATCCAATAACAAAGCAACAATTGTCACAGTCGAAGAGCCCACAGTCACCAAGAGCAAAAAAGGCGTGGCAGGTCCGGAGTTCGACAAAGAGCATACTCATTGTTTTTTTCGACGTGAAGGGGATTGTTCACCGTGAACTTGTTCCTCCAAACATTACGCTCAACTCTGACTTTACTATGACATTTTGAGATGCTTGAGGTAAAATGTGATGAAAAAGACTGGAACTTTGGCACAACCACAACTGGCTACTTCATCACAACAATGCACCCATCCACACATCCCTGGAAACCACAGAGTTTGTAACTAACAACATGGTTATCGTTCCCCATCATCCCTACTTGCCAGACTTAGTCCCATGTGATTTTGCTTTGTTTCCCAAATTGAAAATGAAACTGAAGGGATGACATTTTGAAACAGTGCCTGACAACAGCAGGGAACTGCAAGCTGCACTTGATAGCATTAAGAAAAATGACTTCCACGGTGCTTCTGAAGTGTGGAAAAAACAGTGGGATCACTGTATATGTTCCAAGGAGACTATTTTGAAGGAGAAGGCAGAATAAGTTAAGCAAGCATTTTTTTTGACCTAGTCTGGGAACCTTCCGATAGAACCTCGTATGTACCTTACAATAAAACTTTAATATAACACATCACATATTACAGATAAAGCAAACATGTGCATGGAAACATCTCCTTAACCCACATAACCTAGAATTAGTTCAAGGCAATTTAATCAGAAAAGCAGAACAACATTACAGTCAGCAGCAGATTCCTTCATCAGAACAACCTGTAGCCCTGATGGTCGGTTAGGCTGAAACATGTAGGGACAATAAAGAGATGACGAGAGAATATTAACTGATGGTGCACATAGAGAGTAAAAGTGGAATGCAAAGTCAGAACTGTAGCAGGGTTGTACAGTTTGGTGGAACATATCGTCCTTTGGCTTTCTTTCCCAATGAATACATTGTCTTGCAATGTCACGTTTATATAAGAACTATAAAAGCCAGAACTCTCTGGCTAGGACCATCACCTATATGACAATCTTCATCACCACTCCCTACAGCATGCTGATCGATACCATCAATAGAATTTTGCCTGCCTTCTTCAGAGTCACTGTCAACTATTCTTGCAAGTCTTCTTCCCCCTACCATAACAATTCTGACCTCAAAGTTTTCAGAAATAATGTTAAAGTGCATACAAAGGGCCAGGATCAGACTTAATTTTCTTAGGTAGCTGAGTCACAAGTTTTGTCTTCCTCACAAGGCACCCACCATAATCATGTACATCTTGATGCTCACTCGACAAATCATGAAATTCATCAGCCTAAGAGCATCAGTAATTATTATCTCCACTAACACTGGTGTCTGTCTCATAATTTGTTTCCTTATAGCATCGTCATCTATATTCACTCAATATTTTGTGGCTGTGAAAAAAAAATACATACAGATCATTCAAGTTATATCAAAATGTAATCACAGCTGGTTCCCATGCAAAGGTAATCAACACTCATATCTGTCTTCCTTTCCAAGTTTTTAATCAAAATGACAACATGCTTTCTTTTCATGATAGACCACTGCTCCTATACCATCAAACAGCTTACATACCAGCCAGATCAAGGCAGACGCTTACTGAGAATTATTAAAAAACTTCAGTAAATATGGTGCTGACTTAAATTCAACACCGGTTCCTAGACAACGGTGCATGCTGTTGAGTGCCACTTGATGTTGGCCTTGTAATGGTTAAGATTATAGTCTTCTGGAATATGAAGCCATGTAGACAACTCTTTTGTGCCCTGAAGATAGAGGTTGCAGGTTCATCCAAAACAAGAGCACCTATCTATCAAACTATATGGCTTCACATCCTGTAACTGTAATTTTAACACTCACTGTCATAAGAACCTCAACTCTCAAATCCACACTCTCAAATTAGGTTGGTTTATCATCTTGGAATGAGGACTACCAAATACTAAACACAGAATTCACATATTATACATACTGTGAGCATATTCTTACATTACACATTGAGATATCTGGAAATGATCTACTCCTGTGACCAACTCTGAATTCAATGCAAGAACTCACAGACATAATTCTTTTGCCATTAAGGTCGGTCTTTGACATCTTATCACATTGTTTCATAATTTTCTTACCTGACGAAAACCATCTGCAAAGTTATTCTTACAATATCGGGTGAAAGAGTTCATTCCATCAGAAATAAGTCCCCACACAGTACGTTTGCCAGTCCGAGTAAAATCCGTCTTGAGCGCGCCTGTTCCAGAATACTGGATGCTTATAACATCTGCATTGTCTGCCCATACACTTTTGAAGAGAGGCTCAAAATATGGCTGGTCTTCCACTCTCTGTCCAGCCCTCAGGATACCTAGCTTCTGCAGGAACAAAATGTTGCATGAGATCTCACATTCTCATAGGAAGGAATATTAAGATTATGATCTGGAATATGATGCCATGTAGTTTTCTAATATTATTCTTCTATAGTAAAGATGGAGATAGCAAGTACCTCAGAACCATTGGTACCAAACTACACAGTGTCACATCCCAGCACACAGTAATCCTAAAACATGAAGATTTTACATCATTAAAAATTCCATCTCAAAAAGTGCAAAGCCTGTAACTGAACAAGATTTCCAGATCAGAAAGAAGGTAGTCAGGGGATGATACCATTGTACACACATAAGCCACAATCAACAGTTTGAGCAATTTACCCTACACTCTTATGCAGATTTTATAATTATCCTTCAATGCCGTTCCTGTGGTTCATTGGTTTCACAGTCTCATTGTTTTAATAAATATGGCATTCACTTTAAATTCATCGTATATATTGTGACGTGGATGGTGTAGCGGGAGGTTAGGGTCGCGTGAACTCTGTGATCTCGTGAGTGACGTCACATACCCCCACTCCGTCCATCAGTGTGCAATGCTCGGTAGACACCCCTTTCCCTGTGGTGATGTAACACGGGATGCCACAGTTGCTACGTAGCCGTAAAAAACTCCCAGAAGTGCTGCCCAGCAATGCCTTTGTAAACACGGCGGGGAGTTTGTGCAACGACTATTCCTAGGCAGTCGGTAAACACGACGTTACGCAACAGTGGTGCCTATTATGTAACTGTTTTCTGTGTTGTCTGTAACGGACATTATTTTAATCCAACTGCGGAAGGATCAAGCAAGTTATGAAGGTTATTTGGAAAGTAAAGATACAAAGTCCAGAAAATATTTGTAAAGCATTTTCTTTTATTCACTTGTAGCACTTTCACAACACACCTTTATTAACTTTTCAACATAGTAACCACGAATCACAATACACTTAGTGAGCCTGGGAGTGAGGTTTTTTATTTCAGTGCCGTGGAAATCTGAGCCATGTCATCACCACGTCTTGAACCTCGTCATCGTCTGAAAAAGTCTTTCCAGCGAGACTTTCTTTAAATTTAGAATTCAGAAAACAAGTGACAGTCACTTGGTGCAAGGTCTGGGCTCTGTGGTGGAGGAGCCAATACTCCCCACCCAAAGGACTGCAACGACTCCTGCATGGCACGAGCGGTATGCAGACGGGCATTATCGTGCAGTATGCAGACTCCTTGCATCATCTCACAGTAAGCAGCAGCACTGACGGTGTCTCCTCGAGGCAAAAATTGACAAGAAGTGGCCCCTTCCTGTCCCAGATGTTGGTTGTCATGATTTTTCAGTTTGATTGTGAGGTACTGAATTTTTTCGCTGTTGGTGAGATTTTGTGGCACCACTGCATTGACTGTCATTTATTCTCGGGTGTGTGTGACAAGGTACCCAAGTTTCATCTCCCATCACAATACAGTTCAGAGTGTCGTCACCTTGATCCTCGTAACATGCAACGAATGCCTGCAGTGCAGCCACTCGATTTCTCTTGTGATCATCTGTCAACATTTTACGGCACCCAACGTGTGCATAGTTTCTGATAGCCTAATATTTTTGTAACAATTTCATGGAGAACAATTCTTGACACTTCTGGACATTGGTGATGAAGTTCATCAATGGTTAAACATCTGTCAGCACGAATGTTTTCATCAATTTTTTGGGTGATTTCATCAGTGATGATGGATGGCCTTCCAGTCCTTTTTTCATCATGAACATCACTTCCTCCTGCTTCAAATTCATGGAGCAATTTTGAACATTCTGTCTGTTCATATCATCTTTGCTGTAAATAGAAACAAGATGGCAATGAATTTCAGCAGCAGTTTCTCCTATTGCGTGAAGAAATTGCTATATGAACCTCACATTTGCTGGAATTTTGAATCAACAAGGTCATTTTAAACACACACTACAAGCACAATGTTGCTATGACTGTGGCTGGTGAACTCTGTCCTGTCATACGGTTCCTATCTCACATGGCAGCACTGGCATTTCTGGGGGGGAAAAAAAATCCCTAGCATTTTTACTGGACTTGTATCTTTACTTTTCTAATATTCCTTATAGGTCAGGTGGCAATGCATTTAATTTGTATTTGGGAGGTGTCTGGCTCAAATTTATGCCTGGGCTCCGGCTATCCTGATGTTTTTCAAGGCTCTACTCGATCCCTCCTCGCAAATGCTGGGATACTACCTGCCTGAAATTAGGCTGCGACCATTTCCACATTCCTTCCAAATTCATTATTCAGCAATTATCTTACCTTGTAACACTGAACAGTGTGAGCTACTGACAACATTAAATGAACCATAAAGACAAATATCCAACAGAACAACAGAACAAGGAATAATGGATAAATCCTCTATTTCTCAATGTAACCACCACAGCAACCGAGCATTTGCCCCAGTGATACACAACATGTTTGATTCAAGCAAAGAAGAATGTAGGGCTCAGTGCTTGCTTACAACTCTGTGAGGAATACGCTATAGAGATTTGGTTGGGTAGTGCTTCAACATCCCCCCTACAGCCCAGATTTCTTCCCATGTGATTTTCACATTTTTGGAGACCTGAAGAGAGACATTCGTGGACATTGGTTTGTATCGGTTGAAGACATGTGTTGCTGGGTAAAAATGTGGTTCCGTAGACAGCCCACACGCTTTTTCAAGGATGGGATTGAACGTCTTATCTCCCAGTGGGACAAATGTATTAACAGTTTTGGAGATTACTTTTGAGGTAAGAAATGTTCTTTAATATGTTTTGGCCTCTGACCTGTTTTCATTTGACTGCCCCTCATAATAAATACCAGTATAACAAAACCCCAGATGTTACTTGCTTATCATCCTATATACAACTTAAAAGCAGCTGGAGATGAACTAGTGGCTCATTAAGCAGGCAGGTTTCTAGAATCCTGTGTTATTTCAGGTTCCTTACGTACCTGCATTACTTGCGTCAAACTCCGTCTGGCCAACATGCTTTGTACTACATTGGTTCGATCAAGACAGTCAATACAATTGGTCCGGAACACCCCATCCTGAAGTGAAACCAAAGTTCCATCCCTTGTGAGCAGAAAACAGCCAAATTCATCCTGTTCATGAGCCAATCTGTCAATCAAGATACTCAGCCTATCCCATCGTAAATGCCTACATTCTGCATGGAAGTCAAAAGACTCATACCTGCAAGAGTAAACATGTGAATATTGTTCAGTGTAACACAGTAAAAACACTGACAGTGTTCAGGAAACAAAAAGCCAACACAATAGTAATACTAAAGAAGGGTGATGTTAAATGAAAGTTTAGTATTAAAACACTTATCAGTTAAGATTTCACTTTCAACTAACATACTTAAACTGAAAATTTCATCCACAATGGTAATTTGCATTTGGGTTGTAAGAAATGTCTTGGGGGATGATACATGTATATATACTGTATATAACTATAACATTTTAATGATGCATTTAGTGTTCTTCCAACTTCAAGTACGATGATGAACTTCTGAGTTCATGTGTCACATTTATTGAGTTTAATTATTACAGACATGAGCAGTAATTCTTAACCATTTCCTGTCTTCCATCAAAAGGCTACAGACAGACACGGGTTCCCTGTCAGAAGGGCCTTGCAACTATTTCTGAATTTTCCACTGTATCATGACTGCATTCATAGTGTTATGGGTCATTCCATGTGAAGTCATCCAGAGAGGTCACTCACCATTTTTAAAAAAAATCCAATTTTGTACACTTATTTATACATATTTTCACACCTAAAAAATGTTTTTAAAAAAATTGTAATCCACTCGGTTCTCCTGGTACAGCCGTTTTTATAATGCTGAAAAACGCGTTTTTGGCTCAAATGGAGGTTTGCGTTATCTTCTGTATCTCGATAACTATTGCAGCTAGAGACTCCAATGAAAAACCAATTTGTTCCTCATGACATGGGCAACAAATCAAATCATTACAAGGTTTCACTCAACTCACTTCCTCTAGGTCTAATTAAGCTCGAAACGTACCTATCGATTTTGGGAAAAACGTCATTTTTCACCTTCAAAAACCAATGGGAAGGGGAAAGTATCAGATTTGTGGTTTCTACCCTTTGTTGTTTCTTACATGGGGAATTTAATCACGTAGGTTGAACCTCATACCTATTTTCCAGAATTTTCCATGAGTTTTCAAACTTTGCTCTGGGCCCCAAATTGGCCATTTTTACCATCTCGTATCTCCGGTGGAGAAGCTCCGAAAAATTTGAAATTCATAGCAAATAATGCTCTATTCTAGAGTAACTTGGAGTTAAAATTACAACTTTTATATTCACCTAATAGCGAAGCTGTGGGCACCTTGAATTTTATAGATTTTGCAGAAATTTTTTGTTTCTCGTTCAAGACGAGATTCAAAGTTTCCACTGGGTAAATCAACAGGCTACATGTCACCCTTTTGTGTATTACTACAAGGCAGACACTATAACAAAATGCCCAGGCTTGTGTATAATCAGTGATCATGTAAAGCACGATAGAGCCACAGTTTGTGTGTTCCAAAAATTTCTTATCGCCGAGGTAAAAGGAAATGTGCCTTCAGTCAGGAAAGTTATTTATTTCAGTGAAGGCGCTGGTAGCCAACTTAAAAACAAAGAGAATCTTTCCAATTTATGTTATCACTATGAAGACTTCGGACTTGAAGCAGAATGGAACTTCTCTTCCACCTCGCACGAGAAGAATGCCTGTGACGGTATTGGCAGCACCACGAAGAGGCAAGCAATGAAAGCCAGTCTTCAAAGAACTCATTTTAACCAAATCATGTGCCCACTAGAACTGTAAATACTCTGCACACAAAATATCCCAGGGGTAGTTTACATTTTTGTGCCAAAAGAGGAAGTTGCAAGAAATGAAATCATTCTAAGAAACATGTTCCAAAAGTGCAAAACTGTGCTCCACACAAGAGAAAACACCAGGTAGTCCATCTGGAGGACAAAAACGGTCAGGTGTTATAAAACATCCAAGTCCGATGATTTCGAAGACATCGTGATAGTGGACACTTACTGAACTATGTGTACTTTTAAACAAACTGCAAAATATTCATCGAAGTACACAAATAACTAATACCATTGGATACAGGTAAGCCAATTGTTGAGGTATTGATTTTTTTGGTAAAATTCAAAGTGCCCACAACTTCGCTATTAGTTGAATATAAAAGTTGTAATTTTAACTTCAAGTTACTCTAGAATAGTGCATTATTTGCTATGAATAAACCACAGATCTGATACTTTCCCCCTCCCACTGGTTTCTGAAGGTGAAAAATTGCATTTTTCCCAAAATCGATAGGTATGTTTCGAGCTTAATTAGACCTAGAGGAAGTGAGTTGAGTGAAACCTTGTAATGATATGATTTATAGTCCATATCATGAGGAACAAATTGGTTTCTTATTGGAGTACCTAGCTTCAATAGTTATCGAGATATGGGAGATAACGCAAACCTCCATTTCAGGGGAAAATGCGTTCTTTCGCATTACAATAACGTCGCTATTAGTTGAATATCAAAGTTGTAATTTTAACTCCATGTTACTTTGGAATAGAGCATTATTTGCTATGAGTTTAAAATTTTTCGGAGCTTCCCCACCGGTGATATGAGACGTTAAAAATGGCCGATTTTGGGCCCAGAGCAAAGTTTGGAAGCTCCTGGAAATTTTTGGAAAATAGGTACGGTGTTCGAAACTATGTGATTATATTCTTCATGTAGGAGAAAACAAAGGGTAGAAACCACAGATCTGATACTTAGCCCTTCCCATTGGTTTCTGAAGGTCAAACATAGCGTTTTTCCCAAAATCGATAGGTAAGTTTCAAGCTTAATTAGACCTAGAGGAAGTGAGTTGAGTAAAACCTTGTAATGATATGATTTGTTGCCCATGTCATGAGGAACAAATTGGTTTTTCATTGGAGTCTCTAGCTGCAATAGTTATCGAGATATAGAAGATAACGCAAACCTCCATTTGGGCCGAAAACGCGTTTTTTCGCATTATAAAAACGGCTCTACTGGGAGAACGGAGCGAATTACAATTTCTTTTAAAATATTTTTTGAGGTGTGAAAATATGTAGAAATAAGTGTACAAAATTGGAATTTTTTTAAAAATGGTGAGCGACCCCTCTGGATGACTTCACATGGAATGACCCTTATGTCTTTGTTCTTTATATTCTTTGACAAGTCTTCTAGTAGTCTGTTACAGGAATGACAGCTGGAATTTTACATTCTGCCACACCATGTGTCTTCTTTTACATTTACACTAAACAATCTGTGGCTGATAGCCAGTGAGGCCATAAAAGGGGTAAAAAATAAGCCTATTTTATCTCAGCATTCCCTGAACATACTACACCTTGCAAAAATACATAATGGTGACATAAGGCTTCCAGTTTTCACTGTCAATGGCATTCATTGTTTTAATTTCTACTTTCACCCTTTGAACATTATGAATGAACAGTTCTACTGTGTAGATAAGAATGGTGTGTCGATGCATTATGCTAATTTGGTAGCAGCATCCTCCAGACATTGAGGACAGTCATTTGATATAATTCTGAACAACATTCACCTCCCAACCTCACAACCTATTTCCTTAAGAACCATCATATTGATTAAAGAGCTCTCTGGCAGCAGAAGCAAACTGCTCAATATTGCAGACAGCAAAGCCCACCATTGGACACAATCCTGAGACACTTCCATTCAACCTTCTATCCTCACAATCCAACCACAGCCCACCACTAGATACAATTCTAAGCCAGTTTCAACCATGTCTCATCTTCACAACCTACTTACCTAAGATTACAAATCAACTAATTATAAAAGGTTATCAACTCCATCCAGTGTGATTGATAAATGTCTTCTCTTCCATCCCTGACATGGTTTGGTCTGAGAGACCATCTTCAGAAACTACTATTACAGTGTGATTGGTCAATATCAATACATACATACAATATCATTAAAATGTCATGAATATAAAATCTGAGCCTTTAACAACTACAGAGATGTGCATGAATATATTACAATATTTATAAATTATTATAATTAGTTTAATTACAAGTGTGGTTTGAAAAGATTTTGTTAAAATTTAGAACCAATTTGGTTCATGTCCTTTATGCTGCCTCTCTTTAAAGGAAGTGGAGTGTCTACCACGTCACGGGTCCATTGTTTGACGAATATGACTGCAAATATATTATGGGTATAATGTAGTATTTCCAAAATCTCGAATTTATTTAAATGCAAGCTTTTGTTGTTTAATCCTACCTTTAGTGTCGTCCTGTTCTGACATGTGTTGAGTTGCGTATTTATACCCCTTGTGCCTTATGATGTTTGTGTGGGCATGTACTGATGTTTTATTATGATGTCAAATATACTATATTGGTTATCACTCTCCTTTGTAAGTTTTTGCTCTTCTATCAATTTATTAACACTTTGCGGACTGGTGGCATATTATTACGACTTTAGGACACATTACGTTGAAACACACTATACCTTGCACTGGCGCCAGGCAGACGCATGACTGGTGTGTGACAGACCTCTTGAATGTTTGCTTCGTAGTCAGTAACATGACCCCGCTGTTTATGACCCAGTTGTTTTCCCTTCTCACTCCAAAAGAAAATGCCTTTGTTCATCTTCCAGCTGCATGCACCAGGAAGGAAGTTACTAGTGCAAAATGGATCAAGGTCGGAAGAGGTTGAGGGCCAACCGTTTTCTCGGAGAACAAGAAATATCTGACTTGTTCTCCGATGAGCTATCTGACGTCGCTTGTGAGTCTGCTAGTGATAGTGACTCACAATCTGATAGTGAGTGTGACAGGGGCGAGCAAAAAAATTGTGGCCACAGACAGTGAAAGTGAAAGTGACAGTAGCTCTGACGAAAGTGTGGGTAGCAACACTGCAGGGAGAGCCACATGGGGAAAAGTAGACAAAACACCTGCTTTGGGACAGTTTAGTGGAAATCCAGGGGTGATGCAAATTCCATCGGACCAAACACAAGTGTCTGAAGTAGCGGAACTGTTTTTTGGAGATAGTTTCTTTGACACGCTATGTCAGGAAACTAACAGATACTATCTCCAACACCATGAACATTATGACAGAAGTTATAAGGCGTTGAAATGGGTGGATGTCACTATAGTAGAAATGAGAAAATTTTTTGCAATAATCTTTCTAATGGGCCATAC